GTGCATATTTGGTTGCCTATGTTTAACAATTTCCTTTTTGTGATTGATTTTTTTTTTCAAATTCAAATTATTCGAGTGTGATTTCGCGCCGCTGTTAATTAATTTCAGCGCGAAAACTTTGATTTAAATTCGGTCACCACACAGTCTACAGAATTCAATGACATACTGACAGTTGAATGTATATTTGAATTGACAACCAATGTTTTGAGCCTATGGGCGGATCATTTTTGCCGGTCGTCACCGAAGGACGCGGTCCAAATCGTCCAAGGGCAGAATTTGTAGGTAGGCTCAAACTACAACGAAATTTACGTGTTGACCAAATTCTTACTCTGAATTAGTTTTAATTTTATAAATACCCTATCTAAAATGTTCAGAATATGATGAGTCTATACTTGTGATTTACCATTCCATTAATATTTTTTGGATTTGTTTATACATACAGGGTGACTCAAAAAAAAATTATGACTGAGTCAATTTATTTTATTGAAGAAATCAAGAATTGCAAAACTGAATACTTTGAAATCTTGTCAATTAGTTAGGAAAAAAAAAACCTGTCCTGCCCTAATAACATCGGGAATATGCTCAAAATCACACTAATATTAGGTCTAATTGTGCCGACCATAGTTATAAAATTCACATTAAAGTAAGTCACGGACATTTTTTGAAGTGTACTACATTTCAAAAAGCAAAAAAAATGTTCAGTTTATAAACTTCATAATTTTGGTTTAAAGTTTATCAATCATATTTGACGCTTTATTTTATCCATTCCATTTGTTATCCTTTACTGCGGTCTCTCTTGGGTCGAGGTGTAACACCGGACCGAACGTTCTTCGACCGATAGGATAATTTATTACTTCCTACATCTTTTCGAAAAGTCGAAGAATACTTTCAAAGCCACGATCAAGATGTATTTGCTTATCTTCGCCAAAAAATGCATGACGTCATGGTAAAATTTGATATGATGAGTCTATACCTGTGATTTATCATTGCAGTAATATTTTTTAGAATTACTTATACAGCCTGTCTCAAAAAAAGGTCACTTCGATTTTCGATTTTTCGTTTTTTCGACCAACAGTTTCATCGAATTAGATTTTTCAGTTTCCATTTTTCTATCAACTTTTCGATTTTATTACTTTCTAATTTTCTGATTTTTCAAATTTGCGGTATTTTGATTTTTCGAGTTCAGTTTTTTCGTTTTTCGATTTTTTAATTTTTCGTTTTTTTGATTTTTCGATGTTTCAATTTTTTAATTTGCCATTCTTTCAATTTTCGATTTTTCGTCTTTCCATTTTTAGATTTTTTGATTTTTCTGTTCGTCAGTTTTTAGACTGCAATTTTTTTGCATTTTTCGATTATATTTTACTTTCCGATTTTTTTGATTTTTGAATTCTCGATTTTACGTTTTTAATTCTTCGATTTCCGATTTTTCAATTTTCCGGTTTTTTAATTTTTCTATTCTCGATTTTTCGATTTTCCATTAATCATAAAATTTTTCGATTTTTCGGTTGTTTTATTTTTCGACCTTCGATTTTTCTACTTTCGATTATTCGATTTTCCATTTTCTGATTTTACGATTTTTCGATTTGCGATTTTTCGATTGTCGTTTTTCCGCTTTTGTGGTTTTTCGATTTTTCTGTTTGTTTCAGTTTTTATGGTTCTGCAATTTGCAGCTTTTAGATTTCAATTTTGTTACTTTCCGATTTTCCACTTTTCGATTTTTTGATTTTTTTTTCGATCGTCGTTTTTTCGATTTTCATTTTTTCGATTTTTTGATTTTTCAATTTTTGGGCCTTGCAATTTTTTTACTTTTCGCTTTTTCGAGTATTTGTTTCATCGAATTTTCAATTCTTCGAGTTTTCGGTTTTCGATTTTTCGGTTTTTCCATTTTCCGATTTTCGATTTTTCGATTTTCCATGTTTAGATATTTTTCGATTATTTTTTATTTTTCGATTGTTCTGTTCGTCAGTCTTGAGACTTTGCAATTTTTACTTTTCCACTTTTCTATTATTTTTGTTTCGGATTATTCGATTTTTGAATTTTCGTTTTTTTTTCATTTTTCGATTTCCGATTTTTTAATTTTTCGATTATTCGGTTTTTTAATTTGTCGATTCTCGACATTCCGATTTTCGATTTTTCGATTTTCTAATCTTCGATTTTCCACTTTTTGATTTTACGATTTTTCCATTTTTCTGTTCGTCAGTTTTTAGGCTTTGCAATTTGTTTACTTTTCGATTTTTCGATTATTTTACTTTCCAGTTTTTTGATTTTTGAATTGTCGACTTTTAGAGTTTTCAATATTATGAATTTTCGAATTTTCGGTTTTCCTATTTTTCGATTTCTGATTTTTCCATTTTTCGGTTTTTTGATTTTTCAATTCTCGGTTTTTCAATTTTGCAAATTTTCGATTTTTCATATTTGTGAATTTCTAGTGTTTCGATCGACCTACGTATTAGATTCATTGAATTTTCGATTTTCGGTTTTTCCATTTTTAGATTTTCTGTTTTTCGCATATCTGATTTATCAAATTTTCGATTTTTCGGCTTTTCGATTTTTCGATATTTGATTTTCGAATTTTCGATTGTTCAGTTTTCCATTTTTCAGCTTTTAGACTTCAATTTTTTTACTTTTCGATTTTCCAAATTTTCGGGTTTCAATTTTCAGATTTTTGATTTTTAGATTTTCTTTTTAAATCTTTGAATTTTTCGGTTTTTATTTTTCGAATTTTTGATTTTTAATTTTTCCATTTTTCGGTTTTTAGACTTCAATTTTTTTTCTTTTAAATTTTTCGATATTCTATTTTCCGCTTTTCAGAATTTTCGATTTTCAGTTTTCAGACTTTCGATGATTAGAATTTTGGATTTTTCAGTTTTATGATTTTTCGATTTTTAGAAAATTTGAGTAGTCGAATTTTCGATTTTTCAATTCATCGATTTTTCTATGTTCAATTTTTCAATTTAAATTTTGCGATTTTCAATTTGTCCATTGTCGATTTTTAGAATTTTCGGTTTTTCAATTTTTCCATTCTCAACTGTTAGACTTCAATTTTGTTACTTTCCGATTTTTTGGTTTTCGATTTTCCAATTTTCAGAATTTTCAAGTTTCTTTATTCAGATTTTCCATTTTCCACTTTTTCGATTTTAGATTTTTCGAATTTTTGTTTTTCCAATTTTTTGCTTTTTCGATTTTTCTGTTCGTTTCAGTTTTTAGGCTTTGCAATTTTTTTTACTTTATATATTTTGATTATTTTAATTTCCGATTCTTTTATTTTTGTTTTTGATTTTTTTAATTTTCAATATTTTTTGGTTTTCCCGTTTTTCAATTTTCGATTTTTCGATTTTTGAGGTTTGTGAATTTCCACTTTTCGATCGACCTAGGTATTTGATTCATTGAATATTCGATTTTTTGATTAGCCATTTTTAGATTTTCGATTTTTACGATTTGTATTTTTCGATTTTCTGTTTTTTGCATTAGTGAATTTCAGTTTTTCCGATTTTTGATTTTGCGCATATTTGATTAATCAAATTTTCGAAAAAGCTACCATGCTTACAAAAACTTCAAAACATCTACAATATTTCAAAGTATTCAGTTTTGCTATTCTTGATTTCTTCAATAAAATAAATTGACTCAGTCATTAACTTTTTTGAGACACCCTGTATAACCAAATCTAAAAAATATTAATGCAGTGATAAATCACAAGTATAAAACTCATCATATTTTATACATTTAAGATAGGATTTATTCTCCAAAATTTTGAGGTGACGTCATAAATTTTTTAGAGGGGATAAGCAAATATATTTTAATTAAAAATGTATCATGATTATCATGATTTTAAAACATCTGCAAAATTTCAAAGTATTCGATTTTGCAAATTCAAAATTAAATTGTAAAATATTGTTTTATAATTTTGATTTTTTTCCAAAAATCTAGACGTTTTGGATAAAAACTCAACACGGAGTCATAAACTACATGTGTAGGAGTATGTTACTGTATACAATTTATAAACCCATTTACTAAGCATACATTTGAAGTGACGTCATCACATTATTGGTGGGGATGATTAGACAAATTTAATAATTTTGCGACATTTATGAAAAAAATATCAGTTAACAAAAATGGCACGTTTTTATTATTATGCCAGTTACATGTCACTCAACGACAATATCGTTTTTTTAATAGCATTTTATTTGAAAAAGTGATGAAATTTTTTATACGGAACAATTGGTCGAAAGATGTTAGAAAGCAAAATAATTCATGTCCGAACCATCGTTACTCACGAACGAAAGTGACCATTATTTTATGGGAACAACTACCTGCTAAATCTTCTCCGACAAATTCGAGAGAACTGGTGTGAGCCATAAATATTTCTTACCAAATGTATATATAACTACTGTCCGTCCCGTAATTGTCAATAAAATTTTATAGGGTAAAATGTGAATTTCGTTGTAGTTTGAGCCTACCTACAAATTCTGCCCTTGAAGGATTTGGACCGCCTTCTTCGGTGAGGGCAGGCAAAAACGATCCGCCCATAGGCTCAAAACATTTGCGTGCGATTGTACATACAGTAGTTATACAGGATTATTTACCAGAAGCTCTACGCCTAAAAAATTCAAGACGCAACCAGAAAAACAAATTCAAAACCATCTGATATTTCATACCATTTTTTAAAAGAGGAAAACAAAACATAGTCTGATATTTTAAGAAAACAACGTTGTGGGCAAAACGTCGGCGTTGCCTTTTTTTGAGGAACAACACATGTGAAAATTGTCGGGTTAACTGTGAAATGTATATTTTGGGTTGAATGAATACTTCCACGCAAATCATTATGTTAAAGGGGGCAATGATTCAGCACTAATAAAAGGGAATTAACTAACAGTTAATAATAAAGTTATCATTTTTCTCGAAAACAAATCAATAAAACAGTGTTTCTGAAATATGTTGTATTTACATATTTTACATGTATGTATAATGTATATACACGACATGGCATAGGTTTTTCGTTATTACACTTTTAGGAATATACTCTGTGCAAGGGAATTTAACCTGTCGCTATAATTTTGTTTTCTTTGAATATTTTTGTTTCCATATCTTCTGTTTAAATTTTTCGTTGATAGTTGAGAAGCAGTGACACCAAATTCGTTCAGTACATTTGTTGTAATCTCTCGTATTAATGGGTCAATTATGGTGACAACGTCGCATGCATATATAATTCCTCTCACCGGATTGTTATTATTTATTTGCCCTAACTGCCAGTCCGCTTGTATGTTTTGAAACACGTTAGGACATATTTGTGTCTCGAACCTTTGTCCCTGGTCGGCGTCTGGGATGGGATTATTGAGTCCAAAAAACACTTGTGCCACCCCCACATTAGGATAGAAAACAAATTTCCAGAAATACTCTGGAACAGGTATTTGATGAGTATTTGGAACTAAATATAATGGTGCCACAGTGCCATTCTGTGCTACATTAAGAACATTTAATGTTCCAGTTAAAACTGTTGCATCTCCATAAAACCCTGTTTGTGTTATAACTGCAATTGCATTTTCCAGTATTTCCCAATTTCCACGATTAAACTCAAGGATCTGGGGAGCTACGTTGGGGTAAAAAAATGTTGCATCTCTCTGAAACTTATATAAAAAATCGGCCCTTGGAGCAAGATGTCCTTTACTGAAAGTGTTGCCACTTAAGTTAACACCTAAGTTAGTGAGAATGGCATCCATGTTCGTATATATGTTATTGATATTTATTGCACCGTAAATCATGGAATTTTTAAACCTTGGACGAGGTTGTGCATTCACAGTTTCTCGCGCCCAACGAGTTAATTGTTCTCTCGTATATACCGGATTCAGCGCGTTAACGTCAAAACAAATGGTAATCACATCAACCGACGTATAGTTTACATTGTAAGTTACTGTAATAGCAATATTGTCACGTTCGCATAGGGTTTTACCAATAACATAAGACTCAGTTAATTGAGGTATTCTAGGTACATGATTGCATGCAATATTGTTGTAGTTGGTGGGTCGTCCATTCGCAGTGATAATGTCTCTCCCACCTTGGCATGTCATTAATTCACCATCTGCGCGTAAGTTAATTTGACCATCGGTAAGTTGACCGCCAGGACATGCAATCCAAAACTGAGTTCCAGGAGCTAACTCAACAGTACGGTGACCAATACGAACAGGAACGAAAAAATTGTAATTTACATCAACCACGAGTGATTCAATATTAACATTCGCAGGAATATCAATGGCGCAGGCTAGAAATAAAATACCATATTATTTAAAAAATATACAATATATAACAAAACGCCCAGGCCTTATATCTTGAGAACGGATAGAAATATTGAAATTCGTAAAGCCACTGTAAAGTTTAGAGGTGTTAAATGAATTAACAAAATATACATTGTACATGCGTTCGATTTGCAACGTACTAAATTAAGCTTCCCTCTTCGAATTAAAAACAATGGCGTTTACCGAATTTTCGTTCTCAATATATAAGACTCTAGTAAGAGTTTCATCTGAGACACTTGTGTATATATCGTGTGTTTGTGATGCCTTTTAGATGTGTGTGTCAGTCTACATACATTGTTACAAATTTTTGAGACCTACATTTTTAGTTGGTGCTAGTGCTAGTGTTCTGGGTTTAAAGACTTCCTTTTTTCCAGTCTTTGTAGTTTTTGTTGCTATAATTTTCTATTCAATAAATTTATAAGCAAAGTTTCCGAGGTTTTTCTGTACTGTGCTTCTAAATTATTAATTCCGTGCATATTTTTGTCTTAAAAATAATTTTCGGTTGACTGCATTCATCCTCTAGGTACCATACCAGTACCACAAATTAGTGTTTTCCTTTACGTATAACGGGTCAAAACATAGAAACTTTTTTAAAAAGCGTCCAAACACAAAAAACGTATTTCTATTACGTGAAATTTATATGTGATAATGATATATCTTTGAAGGAAACAATAGTTTTTTGAAAATAGTTACTAAAAATTTGAAAATATTTTTGTGGTAGACGTGTATGTAGTTATGTTATGGATATAATATTTAAACTAAAATAAGGTATAATAAGTAAATTACTTACGTGCTTGTTGTAGTTCAATTCCATTTTTTCTGTTGGAAATAGTGGCGGAGTGAGCTAGTGCTACTAGCACAAATAATACAGTATATCGCAACATGTTAAAACAAACTTGCCGGTCTTACCATCTTCATTCCTTTATATATAAATTTGATAAGCCATTTCCACCCAAAAAGTAGTGTGATAAGCATCAATAATTTTTATTTTTAAAACATTGAGAGTAATCTTACAATCACTTGACAAGTATGACATCGATTTACCTATTTCAATTCTTGTTATCAAAATAATTGATTTTTTAAGTATTACAAAAATTAAGTATTAATTTAAACAAGCAAACTTATCAACATTCACGAAAACAAAAGTAATAATTAAAAAAAATTGGTCGAAAGTTGTTTCAACAAAACATCCCTCACTCCTGAAGTACAATAAACATATCCAGCATTTCAGGAAAATTATAAAATTTGATTTTTCGAATTTTATTTTTTTAATGAGAATTTAAAGTAAGTAGAAGGAAGCGTGCTATGCGTATGTTTCAAATGAGTTTTCACTTTACAAAATTTTGTGATGACGTCACCAACACTTTTACAACGACACAACTTAGATTGGTGCAGTTTAATACTAATAATAACAATATTATATTCCCAAATTTTCGGGAAAATGGAGTGAGCCGTTCTTAATTTGATCAATAAAATAAATTGATTCATTAATTTTTTTTCAGCCAGTTGTATAAGCCAATCTAAAAAATATGAATGCAAAAATAAATCACAAATAAAAATTCATCATATTTTGCAAATTTTAGAAAGGATTTATTCGGTAAAATTTTGAAGTGACGTCATCAATTTTCTGGGGAGATAAGCAAAAAAAAAGAAATATATAGTAATCTTTTTGAATTAGCCTGTATAAAGAATCTCAAAAAACGGAAATGGAAGTTATTTCGCAAAATTGTGAGATGACGTCAGCCAATTGCTACAAGGGACGGACAGGCAAATTCTAATTAGTGGTTTACCATGTCTCCCTGTTTGCAATTATTGTCATTGAGTAAGTTTTGAAGCAAATTTTGGACTTCGAATTACTTAATATGTGTCATTATGCTACACTTTTTTTTTGGAGATTTTAAAGCAAATTTTCAGAAGTGACTATATCACTTTGGTTACTCTGTTACTATGTCGCACTGAATGTCATATTAGAGGCATTTGCTTTGTTCACCTGTACCATAAAGAGGTAAATAGCGACCGCTACATAAAAATTAAGTTGGAGAATTTTTATAAATCGACTTTTAAGCATTCTCAGACGATTTTAAGTTGACGGAAATGAAGAAATAACATGTATAGAAGTGAGCACAATAATTGTTCCAAGTCCCATAATACACCTTTTGGTATGAAACGAACATACTTGTAAAATCTAAGTATTATAATTGGATCATAAACCCATAACTACGATTTTGACAATTTACAAGATAAAATGTGGGTTGTGTGACAAGAATTTAGGTACGTATTTTATGCTGATGATACAAAAACCAAATATAATCATTATTAGAGTAGTTTTAACTAAAAAATCTTGTTATAAGTGTGATTAAATGATAAGAATGTTTACGTAATTTTTTTCTAATATTTATCAATGATCAAATTAATTTTAGTTTGCTATAATTTCCGTCACTTCACGTGTTGATATCGATCGAAATAATAATGAAATTTTTAACAATGAACTTTTAGTTTTCTTATCAAAACTTAATTTTGTTTTATCACTTGAAACATTCATTTTTGAACTATAAATTAATTAAAAGATCTTAATCACAGAAAATGACAAATAACATTTCTACTTATGAATGGACAGTTTTTATACATTACGTTGCTTAAAAAATATGTAAGTACTTTATTTGGTGCGCAAAAAAACGTAATTTTACCACAAGCGGAAAAATACTTGTCAGCTACTACTTATGTACTAAGAATTGCTTGGAAAGACTATTTTTGACATAAAAATCTCCGGTCAAAAAAAACCGCATTTTTTACAACGCTGATTCATTATGTATTTGATGAACTTTCTAGTGAAATTTGTTTTTTAAATGTTTTATTTTAATATTAACTGCCGGATTTTAATTATTCAGTTTAATTAATAAAAACATCATTAACCGTTCTCTTTATTTTAAATTAGTTATCGCTTAGGACAAAGCAAGTACCAGATACCCTACTATACATTTGTAAAGGATGAAGAAATCATCCTAAAAATCTGCAGAGTAAAACGCATCTTTGTTCACAGTTGCCACAAAAAAATTAATGATTGAACTAGTTTATTTTATGGATTAAATCGGTTTATCTAATTTTTCCAAAATTCTGGAAAACAGTAGTGGGTTAACTTATCTTCGAAGGTGCTAAGTTGAAATTAGATTTGTTTAAACAGACACTTACTAGAAGATTTCATGAAATTCACCTAGTCAGGATAACACCTTTGTTTGTTTCATTACGAATGAAGCTTCTAGATGCATATACGTAATTGCTAATAGTTCATTTACGGTAGTTAAATTAACAACATTCATTATGTCGTGAATTGGCGGGGGGTTATAGTAACATTTTTTCCCTTAGGCAGTATCATCGTTATTATCTCATTATTAACATCATTACATCACCGAGGTATTTCCTCGCAACGTTAAAAATTGCATCACCGAGACCATTGTCAGTTCACGATAAACTCTTAAAGTTAATTATTTTAAGTAACCAATCACTTGGATCAAAACATAATTTAACATAATATAAATTCTTTGTTTGAATCGTTGATAAAGTGTGGCAAATATTAATCTCATGTAAATTCGTTAGCTTTGCAATTTTTCACTTCATACAATATTTCTCTATCTCACAATTTTAACCCTTTTTTGTTCTGTAAATATTTTGTTGATGAATGTTTCCATCGTATAAATTATCTGATGTCCAGTTTTAATCTCACATAAGAATTATTTGTTGTTTCAAATTTCACAAGATTGGATGGCGAATTTAAATATTATTTATTGCTCTTTTTGAAACTTTAACACTTGTTCAGTCAGAGTTATAAGAATTGAACATATAAATTGAATTGAGGTTAAATAACACAGAAAACGTGGCAGAAGTGGAGTGCGCGGTTTCTAGTCGAGATAAAGATGCAGGTTAGAATAAAATTCAAGGGCGGTCGCGATGTTGTAGCACTGTCGGCTTCCACCCCGTAACCGAGACCCAACTGCGGATCTGCGACCGTAACGGCCTGCTTGTGCCATAATAGAGACATGCTTTGCGACAGTGCTTGCGATAGATAGAATCATCGTCGTGGGGGGAGAACCGATAGCCCCAAACTCCGTTTGTGCTAAAACGCCCCTATAAGTATTTTTGTTGTGCTTTTGTTGACTGCCATAATTTTAAATTTGCCGCCACACGCCTGCAATAACTTGTGTATTTGCATCCAGTTACTTTAATTCAGATTTTTATTTGTTTTTATTAAATGTGTGATATTCAAATATTTGCATTGATTCAGAACCTTTTGATTTCATTTAAATTTCATCCAAAGTTCGATAAGTTTTTTTTTTGAGCTGAATAGCGACTGCAATTCGGCCCCCATTGGGCAGTCTGAGGGCAAATCACGAGTCACCCTCGCACACGGCTTTTTTTTTTCTTTTTTTGTCAGTGGAGGAATAAATACTTTTGTGTCCTCCATAAATTTTGTGTTTTATTTATTGGCACTTTTCCAATCTTGGGGTCCACCATTTGCATGTGAACGCATTTTATCAGGCGATCACAGCCAAGGCTAAATTTTGAATTTTTAAATTTTTCGCGGGGTTTCAATTTTTTTTTTCACATGTCAATATAAGGCGGGATGTTTGGGTTATCACAGTGTATTAGAAATGTCATGATGGTTAAATGCTAACCAAAATTTGGCTAATCATCTCTACCAACAATTTGATGACGGTATTCTAAAATGATTTGCATGTTAGACCAAAATATACTCATATACATGTAGTGTACGAATCCACTTTGAGTTTTTTCGCTAAACGTTCAAATTTTCGCAAAAACATTAATTTGCAAGGTATAATAAGGTTTTATTCCCGACACGGTTTGTATCTCCGTGGCGCAGTGGGTGTATCGGAGCTAATGGCGACCCGCAGTACTACGATCGAGGTTCGACGCCAAACTGGGCCCTTTACTTTTTATTGCATTTTTTCTTACTTTGGTATAACGCTGTGACTACTTTTAGTTTATGCTGTGACTAGAATTATCCATGTTGATGAAGATATCACAAATTTTTTATTAGTCAAACTAAGAACGAGTCACCCCATTTTCTCGAAAATGGGAAGAATACGCACGTCTTTATATAAATATGGTCAAATAAGAATTATAATATTCAGAACATTTTGTTCGATTGTGGTTTAATTAATAATTTTAGTCCTGTGTTTTGAGAAGACAAACTCATTCAAATGAAATTAATTTCTACGTGACATTCTTTCGATGTATAAACATAAATAAACACTTGAGCTTCAAATGCTATTACCAAGTGCTGAAGGACAAGGGGTGTAATTTGTGCCTTTGGTTTTTACTTTACAGCGTTTATCACAAAACGAAAATCGTAAAATCAAATTTTATAGGAGAGTATTTTTTTTAAAGAGCTGCATTTGCCGGATTATGCTTATCGCCTTCGACCAATTTTTTATTGATCAAATTAAGAACGTCATTTTTTAGATTTGCTTATACAGGTGACTCAACAAAATTAATGAATGTGTCAATTTATTTTATTGATTAAATCAGGAACGGCTCTATTTTCTCAGAAAATTTTGGCAATACAATACTGTTATTTTTAGTATTACACTGCACCAATCCAAGTTGATATACGTGTCCTTGCAAAAATATTGATGACGTCATCACTAAATTGTGTAAAGAAAAACTCAACTCGAAAATTCTGGATATGTTTCATTGTACTTTAGGAGCGAGGGAAGTTCAAAACAACTTTCGATGAATTTTTAACATTACTAATAAAGCATACGGCTATGCAACCAGTTATACATGGAATTTAAATTGAAACCTTGGAATGTCAAGCCGGCATACATTACAAATAAACAATCTTCATAAAGTTTAATATTTTTCTAAATTCATAAAATTAAATACTCTTGCATTTGTGTTTTATGAATCGGTCTTGAGTTTCCTCTAGGTATCCAGATTTTTGGAAAAGAATCAAAATTGTGTTACAACATTTTGCAATTTAGCTTCCTATTAAAAATTTTGACAATGTGTACCTAAGAACCACTGCAAAACTTTTGTATTGTGATATCTGATATGTTTCCGCAAATAATTTTAAACATTACTTAAATTTTATTAATACGTATATGCAACCAGTTATACACACCAACGTAAAATTTTCTGAAACTCTTCGTTCTAACTAACGCATTTGTTTCATCTAGAATAAGACTTTTCTGAAGAATGCTATATTACTAAATTCTTTATACTTTTCGTTATTTATTGCACTTTTAGGGAAAAAAAACTCTGGACCAAAAACGTCATCGTTACAATTTTATTCTTTTGTTTGACACACTTTTATTTTCATCATTTTTTTTTTTAAGTTCACCCTGACACCTCAGAAGCAGTTACACCATACATCTTCCGTTCTTCATTTTCTGCAATCTCCTTTATCAGTGGATCATTTAAATAATACCCATTACATATATAAATAATCCCCAACGACGAATCGTTATTGTTAACTGCATCCAATCCCCATGCATGTTGATGTATCGAAAATAGGTCTTCTCCACATATTTCTTCGGTGAACTTTCCTAAGAGCTCGGCGTCTGGATTGGGATGATTAAGTCCAAAAAAGAAAAGCTCTTTAAGTTCCTCAGGGTAATAAACCAACTTCCAAAAAAACTCTGGAACAGGTATTTGAAGAGTACCCGGAAGCAAATATAATGGCGCCATAACGCCATTTTGTTTCACATTGAGAACATTTAACACTCCATTTATAACGACTGCATCTGTTGCGTTCTGATACGTTAAATTCGCAATTACTTCGTTCACGATTGCCCAATTTCCTTCGTTAATACTTTTCCACTGGGGGGCAACGTTGGGGTAATAAAATGTAGCATCTTTTTGACTCTTATACAGAAAATCGCCACTGGGGGCAAGTTGCCCTTTCGTTAAAATGTTGTCGGAGTCGAAACCCAAATAAGCAAGAGCGTTGTTAATATTGACATATAAATTCTCTATGTTTATTTCACCATAAATCGTGGACACTACAAACGCATTTGGACCGGGGATTTTGCTCAGTGCAGCCCAAGGAGTTAATTTTTCTTTGGTGTATAGTGGAGTCAGTGTATCAATGTCAAAACAAATGCTGTGTACCGGTAGAAACGTAATGTCTATTACATAACCCACATCAATTAGGGTATTTCCACCTTCGCATCCTTCGCTGTTATGAATATAGTCATACAAAATAGGTATTCCAGTTTCATTCTGGTTACAGAGAATGGTGTTGTAGTCAAAAACTTGGCCATTTGTAGTGGTAATGTTGGTATCACCTTGACATGTCATTAATTCTCCATTTGCATTCAGATCGTCTGTGAATTCACCACCCGGGCATGCAATCCAGAATTGAGCTCCAGGAGCAAACTCAATACTCGGGTTACCAAGGTCGGTTGGACGGGGAAAAGAAAAGTTTGCGTTGACCACGAGGGGTTGTTGGTCAGCGTTCACAGTGACATCTATGATGCAGGCTAGAAATCAAAATGTTTTATATTAATATAATTTGTAACTATATTTTAGGAATATGGTGTGGATAGTAAAACGCTAACCAAATTTTTTTTTTCTCAGTTTGCTCCATCAACAGTTTGATGACGTGATCTCAGAATGTTGCAAAGCAAATGCTATTTAAACTTTTATGATATAACTTATTTTTGTATCTGTGGGTTACGAACCCGCTTTGATTTTTTACCTAGAAATTGTAAAACCAAATTGAAAAATCAAAAATTTAAAAATTTGAAAAATTGGAAAATAGTAATATCGAAGAACTAAAATCGAAAAAGCAGAAATCGAAAATTCTAAAATTTAAGAAATCATCGAAAAATTGAAGAATCGAAGAATTGAAAAATTGAGAAATCAAAAGATCAAAAAATTCGAAAATTGAAAAATTTAATTGAAATTTAAAAAGCGAAAAATTGACAATTTGAAATGTCAAAAAATCGAAAAATCTAGAAATCCAGAAATCGAAAAGCCAAAGTTTCAAAAATCGCAAAAATGAAAAATCGGAAAATTTATGAATCAAAAAACTGAAACATCCAGAAATCGAAAAATAAAGATCGAAAAATCAAGTAATGGAGAAGTCGAGAAGTCGCAAAATCGAAAAATTAATAAAGAAATCGTTAAATTGAAAAATTGAGAAATCAAAAAATCATAAATTTTAAAAATCGAAAAATTTAGATCCGAAAAGTCGAAAAATCGAAAGATCGATAAATCGTGAAATCGAGAAATTCAGAAATCAAAAAATCTAAAGTTTAAAAAAATGAAAAATTAAAATACCAAAAAATTGAAAAAACGAGCAATCGAAAAGTCGAAAAATTGAAAAATCGAAACATTGAAAAGTCGAGAAATCGAAAAATGGGAAAATCAAAGAATCAGTTAATCGAGAAATTGAGAAATCGAAACATTGAAAATTTAAAAACGCAAAAATTGAGAAATTGAAAAATTTAAATACAAAAAAGCGATAAATCGAAAAATTTAAATATATATTCAAAAGAGAAAATGAACAATCAAAAAATCGAAACATCGAAATCTCGATAAATCGAGAAGTAGAAAAATTTTAAAGTCGGAACACCGAAAAATTGGAAAATCGAAAAATTGAAAAATCGCGAAATTGAACAATCAAAAAATCGAAACATCCAAATGTCGAGAAATAGAAAATTTGAAAAATCCAAAAGTCTAAAACCAAGAAGTCGATAAATCGAAAGATCGAGAAATCGAAACATCAACAAAATTTAAAAATTCCAAAATTTTAATAATCAAAGAATTGAAAAACCGAAAAATCGAGAATCGTGAAATCATGAAATTCACAAATCGAGAAATCGAAAAATTTAAAAATTGAACAATTAAAATATCGAAAAATTGAAAAATTGAAAAATCGAAACATTGATAAGCCGAGAAATGGAAAAAATAGAAAAATCAAAGAATCAATTAATCGAGAAATTGAGAAATCGAAAAATTAAAAATTTGGAAAGGCCAAAATTCGAAAAATTTAAATATTTAAAAATCTACAAATTGAACAATCAAAAAAACCTAAACATACAAATCTCGATAAATCGAGAACTAGAAACATTGAAAAGCCGAGAAATTGAAAAATCGAAACATCAAAAAATTGGAAAATCGAAAAACTGGGAAATTGAAAAACTGATACACTGACAATCAAAAACCGAGATATTGAGAAATCGAAACATCAAAAGAAGTCGGAAAATTCAGAATTCGAAATAGGCCAAAATCGAAAAACCGACACATTGAAAAATGTAATATAAAAAAAAAAATAAAAATTCCAAAAATTGAATAATTAAAAAATTGAAAGAGCGAAAAATCGAAAAGTCGTGAAATCGAGAATTCAAAAAAATCTAAAATTTTAAAAATTGAATTGAAAATGTAAAATATCGAAAAATTGAAAAATTGAGCAATCGAAAATAGAAAAATGGAAAAATTGAAACATGGAAAAACTGAAAAACGAAAAATTGAAAAATCGAAAAAATGAATTAAAAAACTAAAAAATCGAAACACTGAAAATTCGAACGATCGAAAAATGTTAAAAATAAAAAAAATCGATAAATAAAAATTTAAATATTTAAAAATCGAGAAACTGAACAAACAAAAAATCGAAACATCGGAATCTTGATAAATCGAGAAATATAAAAATTAAAAAATCCAAAAATTAATAAATCGAAAAATCGAGAAATCGAAAAATATAATACTTATTTTAAGAATTAAAAACTTGAAATATAAAAAAAAGGAAAGATCGAGAAATCGAAAGATCAAAACCTTGAAAAATTGAAAAGTTGAAAAATGGAAGTCCAAAAACCAGATAATTGAAAAATCAAAAAACTAAAAAAAAAATAGAAAAATTGAAGAATTGGAAAACTAAAAAATCGAAACATTGAGAAGTCGAGTTAAAAATTGTTCCCATGTATTATTTATTATTAGACAGAATTTCGTTCGTCCCTAAAGAAGAATCAAATAAATTCAGATATTTAGATATAACAATATAGATAATATCAAGCACAGTGTAAGAAAAAACATTTTTCGGAGGTTATTTTGACAGAAAAGTCGAAAAATCGAGGAATCCAAACATCAAAAAACCGAAAACTTAAAATATCCAAAATTTTAAAAGTTCCTAAAATTGAAGTGATGAAAAATTCAAAAATCTAAAATTTCAAAATCGAAAAATTGAAAAACTGATAAATCGAGAAATAATTCAAAAATTGAAAAAATAAAAAAATTGAAATGGCGAAAAATCGAAAAATTGAGAAATCGACAAATCGAATATAGAAAATTTTAAAATTCCCAAAAATTGAAAAATCCGAAAATTGAAGAATCGAAGAACTAAAAAATCGAGAAATTGAAAAATTCCAAAACTGAAATGACGAAAAATTATAAAATCGAAAAATTGAAAAATCGAAACATGGAAAAATCGGAAAATCGAAAAGCCGAGAAATGGAAAAATAAAGATCGAGAAATCAAGTAATGAAGAAGTCGAGAAGTCGCAAAATCGAAAAATTAATAAAGAAATCGTTAAATTGAAAAATTGAGAAATCAAAAAATCATAAATTTTAAAAATCGAAAAATTTAGAACCGAGAAGTCAAAAAATCGAAAGATCGATAAATCGTGAAATCGAGCAATTCAGAAATCAAAAAATCTAAAGTTTAAAAAAATGAAAAATTAAAATACCAAAAAATTGGAAAAACGAAACATTGAAAAGTCGAGAAATCGAAAAATGGGAAAATCAAAGAATCAATTAATCGAGAAATTGAGAAATCGAAAAATTGAAAATTTATTAAAAACGCAAAAATTGAGAAATTGAAAAATTTAAATGCAAAAAAATCGATAAATCGAAAAATTTAAATATATATTCAAAAGAGAAAATGAACAATCAAAAAATCGAAACATCGAAATCTCGATAAATCGAGAAATAGAAAAATTTCAAAATCGGAACACCGAAAAATTGGAAAATCGAAAAACCGGGAAATCGAAAAATTGAAAAATCGTGAAATTGGACAATCAAAAAATCGAAACATCCAAATGTCGAGAAATAGAAAATCTGAAAAATCGAAAAGTCTAATACCAAGAAGTCGATAAATCGAAAGATCGAGAAATCGAAACATCAACAAAATTTAAAAATTCCAAAATTTTAATAATCAAAGAATTGAAAAACCGAAAAATCGAGAATCGTGAAATCATGAAATTCACAAATCGGGAAATCGAAAAATTTAAAAATTGAACAATTAAAATATCGAAAAATTGAAAAATTGAAAAAGTAAAGACTTGAAAAACTGAAAAATCGAAACATTGATAAGCCAAGAAATGGAAAAAATGGAAAAATCAAAGAATCAATTAATCGAGAAATTGAGAAATCGAAAAATTAAAAATTTGGAAAGGCCAAAATTCGAAAAATTTAAATATTTAAAAATCTACAAATTGAACAATCAAAAAAATCTAAACATACAAATTTCGATAAATCGAGAAATAGAAACATTGGAAAACCGAGAAATTGAAAAATCGAAACATCAAAAAATTGGAAAATCGAAAAACTGGGAAACTGAAAAACTGAAACATTGACACAATCAAAAACCGGGATATTGAGAAATCGAAACATCAAAAGAAGTCGGAAAATTCAGAAATCGAAATAGGCCAAAATCGAAAAACCGACACACTGAAAAATGTAATATAAAAAAAAAATTAAAAATTCCAAAAATTGAATAATTCAAAAATTGAAAGAGCGAAAAATCGAAAAGTCGTGAAATCGAGAATTCAAAAACTCTAAAATTTTAAAAATTGAATTGAAAAAGTAAAATATCGAAAAATTGAAAAATTGAGCAATCGAAAATAGAAAAATTGAAAAATTGAAACATGGAAAAACTGAAAAACGAAAAAATCGAAACACTGAAAAGTGGAACGATCGAAAAATTTTAAAAATAAAAAAAATCGATAAATAAAAATTTAAATATTTAAAAATCGAGAAACTGAACAAACAAAAAATCGAAACATCGGAATCTCGATAAATCGAGAAATATAAAAATTGAAAAATCCAAAAATTAATAAATCGAAAAATCGAGAAATCGAAAAATATAATACTTACTTTAAGAATTAAAAACTTGAAATATAAAAAAAAATGAAAGATCGAGAAATCGAAAGATCAAAACATTGAAAAATCGAAGTCCAAAAACCAGATAATTGAAAAATCAAAAAACTAAAAAAAAATCGAAAAATTGAAGAATTGGAAAACTGAAAAATCGAAACATTGAGAACTCGAGAAATCAAGAAATGAGAAAATGAAAGAATTAATTAATCGAGAAGTTAAGATATTTCACCTCTGAAGTATGGAAAAATTGGATAATGGAAAATTGAAAAATCGAAAAATTTAAAAACCGAGAAGGCAAAAATTCAAAAGATCAAGAAATCGAAACATCAAAAAACTGGAAAAACTAGTTAAAATTTCCAAAATTGAGAAGTTGTAAAACTGAAAATATAAAAAATCAAGAAATCGACCAACTGAAAAATCGAAAAAACGAGAAATTCTGAAACCTAGAAACCGAAAAATCAAAAACTGGAGAATTGAAATATTACAAAATCACAAAACTTCGAAAATCTGAAAAATACAAAACCAAGAAGTCGAAAAATCGAAATATTAAGAAACCGAAACGTCAAAAAACTGGAAAAATTGAGAAACCGTAGAATTGAAAATCCGAAAAATAAAAAAATCGAAGAAGGGAAAAAATTGCATAACGGAAAAATTTAAAAATTCCAAAATTAAACCATTGAAAAACTGAAAAATCGAGAAATCGAAAATTCGAAGACGAAAAACCGAAAAATTGAAATATCAAAAAACTAAAAATTGGAAAATTGAAGGATTGGAGAACTGAAAAATTGAAACATAAAGAAGTCGAGAAATCCAGAAGCAGAAAAATAAAAAAAAATCAATTATTCGAGAAGTTAAGAAATCGATAAATTTAAAATTTAGGAACGTCAAAATTCGGAAGATTGAAAAATTGGAAGCGCAAAACTGAGAAAATTGAGAAATCGAAAAATGAAGGAATCGAGAAATTAAAAATTTGAAGAATCGAGAAATTAGAAAATCTGTACGCTGCTTTTAAAAATCGAGAACCCAGAAAAATCGAAAATCCAAGTGTCGAAAAACTGAAAAATCATAAAATTGAAACACAGAAAAATTGAGAAATCAAAAATTTGAAGAATCGACGAAGAAGAATTGATTCCTTTTTTCAAAAATTTCGGCGTCTAGCATAAAAATTCATAACGGATTCATAAACCACAAAGGACTATTTAACTTCAAATTTTCGTGGAATTGCCCATTTACTAATGTAAATTTTAGAGATGACGCCATGCTATTGTTATTGGGGATGATCAGCCAAATTTTGATTAGTAATAGTTTCGGAGATGATTATCTCTGAAACGTGAGTAAGTACTCTAGGGTGGCGAGTCGTCCGATGAATTCGATCACAATTCGACTACAATACTTGAAAATAGTGGCCCATATTCCATATTATACGAATGTAATTTTGTGGGAAAATCTGGAGGCCAGAAAGCAGATTCATAAACCACAAGTACAGAAAATGATATTTTGTAAAATTTATATAGTATTCACTATGAACAATTTTGAGATGACCTTATCAATTGTTTGTACGAATGATAAGACAAATTTTGTTTGGCGTTTTATCACACATTGAACCCTATTCCAATATCTCGTTATTTTAAGCTAGGGAAGTAAAAATGTACAATAAATAAATTACATACGTTCTTGTTGTAGTTTAGCTCCATTTTTTCCTTCGTCAGTAGTATCATCTGTATGTGCTAGTGCAACAAGCACCAGTAATATTGTATATTTCAACATGTTAAAGCAACCTGTCGACGTTACAGTTGCAATTGCTTTATATAGAAAAATTTGATAAGCCTTATCCATAAAAAAATCTTACAATCTATTAATAATTTTTACTTATCGAGATACTCAAATCCGTCAATCACTACTTTCTTATCATTTTTAAGTCTTACGATCATTAGTGCTGACTTAAATAAGCAAAGTCATCAATATTCATGAAAGCAAAGTAATAAAGTAATAGAAGAACTTTTTGGTTGATTGTAATTGTAGCTACTTCACCTGTCTACACAGATCAAAGCAATGATAATTAATGTTTTTAGCAAGAAATTTTGATTTTTCTTGTCAAGACTTAATCTTTGAACTACAAATCAACGACATATACTCATTTTTTTTTTCATGGTAACTCGTATTTCTTTTTTAAAATTACATACTACTTGTTCACGTAGTTGTGGTTTATGAATCCGCCTTGATTTTTAACACACACCGGATTCACTTTAATAACGTTGGACCAATTTTTTATGAGGATTCTCTTAAAACTTAGAATTTTCTAAGCTACTTTTTTGAAGGTGTAATTACACTCATACAAATCATACATACAAAATTTAATTCCTTAACTCAATAAAAATACACGCCGGCTATGGTCGGCAATTAAAATCATTTTTATGATTGGATTATACGTATACCTATTATTTGAGAATAAACGAAAACAGATAAAGCAAGGAATAGACTAGCTATGAACGAAAAAAAAAACGTGAGAGAGAAAGAAGATAAGAACCGATCTGTCGGCAGAAAACAACATATGGCAAAAAATTCACTTGAAACAAAAAAAATCACAAAAATACTTTTTTATTGCTCTGACTTCCGCTTATTGAATAAAACACTACATTTTATTTTGATTTTCGATGTTGTAATTTACGTTTGTTTAATTATAACTTGTTTAGATCTAGGGGAGGTCAGTTTCCTTGATTTATTCAATAAAATAAATTGACTGATTTATTAATTTTTTTAGTCACCCTGTATAAGCAAATCTAAAAAATGTGAGTGTAATGATAAATTACAAGCATGGACTGATCATATTTTGCACATTTTAGATAGTGGGCGGGGCTTAAACTTGCTAAGATAGAACTGAACAATATTAAGACTATTCACTGGAATGAAGAAGGGGTTGGTGGGCGGGGCTACTGCTTGCTCATAAATCTAGAAAAAGATAAATTTAGCCCCGCCCACAACATTTCTAATTGATAGTTATTGGAAGCATGTTAAATCGTAAGTCAACAATTATCCGTTCACGCCCCCCAGGAATTGATGACGTCATCTTACAATTTTGTTGAATAAACGTTATTTAAATGATAAAGAGTAGCATAGTCGTGAACTTGTGGTTTATAAATACGCTATTAAGATTTTTCGGATTTTCGATTTTCCGATTTTTCAACTTCAATTTTTCCATTCTTCAAATATTCGATTTCTCGATTTTGTATTTTCGATTTCTTTTTCCTGTTTCAAAAACACGATTTCTCCATTTTTGTCCTCTTCAATTTTACGATTTTTAAATATTTCGATTTTTCAATTCTTCATAAATTTTGACGTTTCTAAATTTTCAGTATTCCGATTTCTGAAGTAACCTTTTTTTTATTTTCCCATTTTTCGAATTTTTTCATTCTTCAATTTTTCGATTTTTCAGATTTTTGATTTTTCAGTTCCTCGATTTTTTAAGCTTACGATTTTTCGACTTTGCTTCTTTAGTTTTTGGTCTTCTGAATTTTTTGATTTCTCGATTTTTTACTCTTTGGATTTTCAATTTTTCGTTAAACTTCAGATTTTTCAATTTTTCGACAGTTTTATACTTCGATTTCCCATTTTTCAATTTTTAACATTGCAATTTTTTCGATTTCTCGAGTTTTCAGTTATTCTTTATTTTAATTTTTCAATTTTGGGAATTTTTAAATTCTCGATTTTCCAATTCTTCCTTTTTAAAATTTTACGATTTTTCACTATTTCGATTTCTGGATTTATTGAATTTAGATGTTTCAATGTTTTGAATGTTCAATTTCTCGATTCATCAGTTTTTCAATTTTTAACTTTTCTTCTCGGCTTTCGACTCCTCAATTTCTCCAATCTTCTGATTTTTCAATTTCTCAATGTTTTGATTTTTGGATTTCTTGGTTTTTCGATTATTTACTTTTGGGCTTTTTAATCTTTCGAATCCGATTTTTCAATTTTTCAATTTTTTAAATTCTGGGATTTTGATTTCTCGATTTGTCGATTTTTCAGTTTTGCAATATTTTAATTGCTCAATGTTTTAAATTTTAGATTTTTGATTTCTCGATTTTTTGATTTTTCAGTTTGTCAATCTTTCTCTTTTTCAATTTTTGCCGTTGCCAAATTTTCAGTTTTTCGATTTCTTAACTAATCTATGTTTGTTTTTCCCATTTCTTGCCTTCACAAAATTTACTTCGATTTTTCAACTTCGCTTTTTCGTTTTTCGATTTCTCCATTTTCTAATTTTTTAATTTCTCAATTTTTGGATATTTCTTTCAATTTTCGGATTTTTCAGTATTTCGATTCTTCGACAACTTTTGGATTTTTCGATTTTTTATTTTTTGGATCCTCAGTTTCTCGATTTCTCTAATTTTCAGTTCTTCTTAATTTCAATTTTTTGATTTCTGTATTAATCGAATTAGGATTTTTCAATGTTTTGATTTTTAAATTTCTCGATGTTTCAGTTTTCGAAAGAATCTTTGTAGAAAATGAAGTTGTAAAGAACAAATGTAGAAAATAAATGCACCAAAAAAAAAGACTAATGTTATTAATTCCTGTAATGCAAGATAATTAAATACCATTAATAATAAATTCCTTAAGGTCACAATTTTTGTCACAAGTGGTGTTATTTATGCCTCTGGTTTTTACTGTACAGCGGTTATCACATATTTTCTTGATCAAATTAAGAACGTCATTTTTTTGATTTGCTTATACACGATCACTTAAAAAATTTAATGAATCAGTCAGTTTATTTTATTCAAGAAATCAAAAATTGCAAAACTGAATACTTTGAAAACTTGCAGACGTTTTAAAGTTATTGTAAGAAAGTAAAAAAACTAAAAATTCGCACTACCACTGAAATTTTCATTACAATGGATGTGTGGATATTCAACTGAAGTTTGCAACACTTGATAGTCCACCTCCTGTAAAACAATCCTAATGAAAGTCCAGGAGCATCGTTTGAATTTGCCCGTGACGAAAGTACAGGCAGCTTAGGCAATTTACCTTCAAATGTTCATCATATTAGTAATAGTACAATTAATATGTATATGGATTACCTAATAATAATAATTTTTTTGAAAAATTTTACGAAATTGGAAAAAATCTTGTATGATACACGTGAATAAACGAATTTTATCCACTCAAAAACATTATCATACCCAGCTTCGCCTCGTGTGCTAAACTGTTTTTTCGTTGGATAAAATTCACTGTTATTCACTTATACCATACATAGCTATTATTCTGCAGTTTTTGTTATCTTTGGGTATTTTTCTAATTTTCGCGTAAGGTATTTTTATTTATAAATCAATTTTAAACATTTCATACCTGAAATGTTATTGTATTTTGCGCTTTTCGTTGGCTTTTGTTATTTTTCTAATATTATATTATATATACATATATTTATATATTATACTATATATTCTCGTAAGAACTATTATTGTTATATAGTACTATTTTCATTTATAAATCACTCTTACGTTTCAATATACTATGTATTCTATCTTACATGTATCATTTTTTTATACTGTTTATGTGTTTTTGTATGTTAGTCTCAAAACGTGTTAAGGCGTATTGAAACTAGCATATGAAAATTCACAAACAATGTTTTCCCCTTCACTTTATAAAAAAATTCACCAGCAAAATTCACTTTCAAATTTTGCGCCACTTTTAGTTCCTAAGCCTGGTGCTAGAGGCGCTCTTAGTGAACAAAACGTAAGTATTATAGAGACCGTGTTCTAAGGGAGGATATTCTATGGCAGAAGCTATTTGAAGTCGATGCTTCTTTAATCCGAACAAAAGCTCTGCAATCCGAACTGAACTTGGAAACACGCAGCTACTTGCAAAAATGACGCAAGGTCTTTCTGCATATTATGTTGTATGGAATATTTTGAAATTTTCAAAAATTGCGATATTTCAATGCATTTTTAATTAACTAAATTCTGGAAAAAAGGTTGAAGTTATCGAAGAAATGAGGTCCAAAATCTACAAGAAAAAGTATTTAGTTAAATTTCGAAAATCGTCAAAAATGGATCTAAATTTGCATGAGGAAAATTTCATGTTTGAAAAAGTTTCCTAAAAATTTTGAAAAAATTCGGGGATTCAGTATGTCCCGACGTGCTGATTCCAAAAATATAGCATATTAATGGTAACCGAGCAATATTTTCGGAAAGTTCGGTGTGAAATTCGAATTTTTCGAAATTTTTAAAAATTGCAATATTTCAACTGGACGAATTTGGAAAAATGGTTTAAATTACCGAAGAAATGAAGTCAGAAATGACTTCTGAAGCCCAAAATCTACAAGAAAATGTATTTAGTTAAATTTCGAAAATCGTCGAGAATGGGTCGAAATTTGCATAATAGAGGTAATACAACATGGAAAATTTTATTTTTGAAAAATTCAGCTAAAAATTCTGAAAAAATTCAGGGTGTAGATCTCGGCGTGTTGACTCCAAACGGATAGCGTGTTTATGGTAACGGAGTATATTTTTTTAGAATGTGTCTATGGATACATTATTGCGTAAGAATTCTTTAACTTTGTTTAATAAAATTAAGGTTTATTTCTTGAAGTTTGTTTTCAACTGTGTATGAAGTTGTTTTTCAATTCCCTTTCAGATTTTTGGGAAAATCGCTGATCCGAGCACACCTTTTTGCCAATTAATTCGGATTATCCAGGTTCTACTGTAATCAACGACGTATACTCAGTTTTTTTCATAGTAACTCGTATTTCTTTTTAAAAATTACATACTTGTTCACGTACTTGTGGTCTATTTTTTTGAAGGTATTATTTGGGAGCTTGGAATAAAATCACTGTTTGATATAAATACTGATCTTTTTTTAAAAAAAAAAACAACACATACAATCACAGAAAATAACATAATTACACTCATACAAATCATACATACAAAATTTAATTCCTTAACTCAATAAAAATACACGCCGACTATGGTCGGCAATTAAAATCATTTTTATGATTGGATTATACGTATACCTATTATTTGAGAATAAACGAAAACAGATAAAGCAAGGAATAGACTAGCTATGAACGAAAAAAAAAACGTGAGAGAGAAAGAAGATAAGAACCGATCTGTCGGCAGAAAACAACATATGGCAAAAAATTCACTTGAAACAAAAAAAAATCACAAAAATACAATAAAATGTGAAATAAATAAGTTTTGAGCATGCAAATGATAAGATATGACACCTCGTAACCTATCCTAGAGTTAATTTGAAAAAATCTACTCTTTAACGTTTAAATAATGTATATTTGTTACAATATGGCACTTATGGAATGAATTACTTCAACTGTTATTGTTCGGTACACCTGAATTTTGTCGTCTACCCAAAGTACCCGAGAAGGCACCGAAATTATATGTCTTTTCTAAGGCACTAATCTAGTGTTTTTGTTTTCTTCTTGTTTGAGAAAGGCCCCTAAGCTACACCTAAAATACTATGTCTTTTCCAATTTACAATTGTTCCCTACGATAATACTTAGAAAAACTACTCCATATACTTCTCCTCGAGGTTCGCGGGCTGGCTTTCAGCCAGCCCGAATAATCTCAGTCGACAGAAATAAATAAGGGCCGGCCGGCCCGGTCGAGGTTAGTTCCTTTTTCACCTATTTACATACTCTATACAGGCGAGCGAATATACAAATATGTACAGGAAAAACTTGAGCAAATGGCATCAGCCCTCCATGTGGCGGTACTTGTGCGCGGACATCTGGGCCAGACCCAGCACGGCGTACTGGCAGGACAGACAGTGGTAGTGGGTCTGCTTGCCGCTGTGCTGACAATTCGGGACCCGGCAGTGCTGGCTGGGGGTGAACTTCTCGAAGCCGGCGGCCTGGATCGAGTCCAGCTTCTGGTGCTGCCGGCGGTGCGCCACCACCTTGTTGGTGTCGGTGCAGACGAAGTCGCACTTGAGGCAGTGGAAGTGGGAGGCCTTGTTCTGGGTGGAACCTGCAAACGACACACATTTTTATATCAAAAATTACTAACAATAAAAGTATTGTATTATTATGATTCTTAAAAACTAGTGATTTATGATCAAGAAACTAAACTAAAAGATGTTTTCTACCAATTGCAATAACCCGATGACAATGCCGACGGTCCAGACTTTTTTATTGCTCTGACTTCCGCTTATTGAATAAAACACTACATTTTATTTTGATTTTCGATGTTGTAATTCACGTTTGATTAATTATAACTTGTCTAGATCTAGGGGAGGCTCAGCTTCCTTGATTTATTCAATAAAATAAATTGACTGATTTATTAATTTTTTAGTCACCCTGTATAAGCAAATCTAAAAAATGTGAGTGTATTGATAAATTACAAGCATGGACTGATCATATTTTGCATATTTTAGATAGTGGGCGGGGCTTAAACTTGCTAAGATAGGGCTGAACAATATTAAGAGTAGTCACTGGAATGAAGAGGGGGTGGGTGGGCGGGGCTATTGATTGCTTATAAAAGATTCTGTAGGAAGCAGTTAAATTTAGCCCCGCCACCCACCCGTTCTCTCATTTTTGCTTCAGAAATAAGAAATAAATTTTATAACAAATAAGTAATATAACAAAAAAATTACATAAAAAGTAGCATAGTCCTGAACTTGTGGTCTATAAATACGCTATTGAAATCTTTCGGTTTTTCGATTTCTCAGTTTTTCAATATTTCAATTTTGGGCTTTTTCAATTTTTCCATTCTTCAAATTTTCGATTTTTCGATTTTTTTCCTGCGATTTATCAATTTTCGTCCTTTTCAGTTTTAAATATTTCGATTTTTCAATTTTTCAAATTTTGACGTTGCTAAATTTTCAGTTTTCCAATTTCTGAAGTAATCTTTTTTGTTTATTTTCCCATTTTCCGACGTCCCAAAATTTCGATTTTTTCGATTTTTGAATTTTTCGATTTTAAAGCTTACGATTTTTCGACTTTGTTTCTTTAGTTTTTGGAGCCCTGAATTTTTTGATTTCTAGATTTTTTACTCTGATGTTTTAATTTCTCAATTTTTAACATTCCAAATTTTCGATTTCTTGAGTTTTCCCTTTTTCAATTTTTCTTTTTAAAAATGTTTCGACTTTTCAATTTTTGATTGCTCGATTTTTCGAATTCAGATGTTCCAATGTTTTGATTGTTCAATTTTTCGATTTTTGGATTGCTCGGTTTTTCGATTTTTACTTTTGGGCTTTTCAATTTTTTTTTGCCAGTTTTTCGATGTGTCGAATTTTCAGTTTAACCGATTTTTCAAGTTTTTAAATTCTGGGGTTTGGATTTCTCGATTTGCAGGTTTTTCAGTTTTTCGATTTTTCAATTTTACAATATTTTAGTTCAATTTTAAATTTTAGATTTTTCGATTTCTCGATTTTTTATTTTTCAGTTCTTCAGTATTTTTATTTTTCAATTTTTGACGTTGCTAAATTTCCAGTTTTCCGATTTCTAACTAATCTATTTTTGATTTTCCCATTTCTTGACAAAGTTTCGATTTTTCAGTTCATCAATTCTTCGATTTTTCGACTTTGCTTTCTTGGTTTTTCGATTTCTCGATTTTCCAAGTTCTTAATTTCTCAATTTTTGGATATTCCTTTAAATTTTTGGATTTTTCAATATTTCGATTCTTCGACTTTTCGATTTTTCGACAATTTTATACTTCGATTTCCCATTTTTTTTTAATTTTTCAATGTTTTAATTTTCCAATTTTTATCGTTCCACATTTTTTGGATTTCTCGAGTTTTCAGTTCTTCTTTATTTCAATTTTTCAATTTTCTCAATTTTTAAATTTTCGATTTTCCAATTTTTCTTTATTAAAATTTTTCGATTTTTCAATTTTTTTTATTTCTCGATTTATCGAATTCAGATGTTTCAGTGTTTTCATTGTTCAATTTTTCAATTTTTAACTTTTCTTCTCGGCTTACGACTCCTCAATTTCTCCAATCCTCTGATTTTTCGATTTCTCGATTTTTCGATTTTTTACTTTTGGGCTTTTCAATTTTTCGATTTTCCAATTTTTCGATGTTTCGATTTTTCAGTTAACCGATTTTTCATTTTTCAATTTTTTAAATTCTGGTGATTCGAATTTCGGATTTGTCGATTTTTCAGTTTTTCGAATTTTTATTGTTTGATTTTTTTGTTTGGATATTTTTCAATTTTGCAATATTTTAATTGTTTAATGTTTTGAATTTTAGATTTTTCAGTGTTTCAATTTTTGACGTTGCCAAATTTTCAGTTTTCCCATTTCTTAACTAATCTATTTTTGATTTTCTCATTTCTTCCCTTCACAAAGTTTCGATTTTTCAGTTCTTCAATTCTTGGATTTTTCGACTTGGCTTTTTTGGTTTTTCGATTTTCCAATTTTTTAATTTCTCAATTTTTGGATATTTCTTTCAATTGTGGGATTTTTCCATATTTCGATTCTTCGACAATTTTTCGATTTTTCGATTTTTTATTTTTTGGATTCTCAGTTTAGCTTAAGATTTTTTAATTTTTCGACAGTTTTATACTTTAATTTCTCAATTTTTTAACTTTTCGATGTTTTAATTTCTCAATTTTTAACGTTCCAAGTTTTTCGATTTCTCCAATTTTCAGGTCTTCTTAATTTAAATTTTTCAATTTTCCGAATTTTTAAATTTTCGATTTTCCAATTTTTCGAGTTTTCAATTTTTTGATTTCTCGATATTTCAGTTTCCGAATTTTTCGATCTTTCGTTTTTTCGATTCCTCGGTTTTTCGATTTTTTACTTTTGGTCTTTTCTATTTTTCAATTTTCCAATTTTTCAATGTTTCGATTTCTCGATTTGTCGATTTTTCAGTTTTTCGATTTTTAAATTTTAGATTTTCGAATTTTTATTTTTTGATTTTTTGATCTTTGGATTTCTCGATTTTTCTATGTTGCAATATTTTTAATTGTTTAATGTTTTAAATTGTAGATTTTTCGATTTCCGGATTTTTCGATTTTCCAGTTTTTGAGTATTTATTTTTCAATTTTTGACGTTGCTAAATTTTCAGTTTTCCAATTTCTTAACTAATCTATTTTTGATTTTCTCATTTCTTGACTTCACAAAGTTTCAATTTTTGCAGTTCATCAAATCTTCGATTTTTTGGATTTTTTAATTTCTCAATTTTTGGATATTTCTTTCAATTTTGGGATTTTTCAATATTACGATTATTCGACTTTTCGATTTCTTATTTTTTGGACTTTCGGATTTTCGTTAAACTTTACATTTTTCAATTTTTCGACAGTTTTATACTTCGATTTCCCAATTTTTCAACTTTTCGATGTTTTAATTTTTCAATTTTTAACTTTCCAAGTTTTTCGATTTTTGGCGTTTTCAGTTCTTTTTTGTTTCAATTTTTCAATTTTCTGAATTTTTAAATTTTCGAATTTCCAATTTTACTTTTTAAAATATTTCGATTTTTCAATTTTTAACTTTTCTTCTTGACTTTCTTCAATCTTCTGATTTTTCAATTTCCTTGGATTTCTTGGTTTTTCGATTTTTTACTTTTGGGCTTTTCAATTTTTCGAATCCGATTTTTCAATTTTTTAAATTCTGGGGTTTTGATTTCTCGATTTGTCAATTTTTCAGTTTTCAAATTTTTATTGTATTTTTCAATTTTGCAATATTTTAATTGCTCAATATTTTAGATTTTTGATTTTTCGATTTTTCGATTTTTTGATTTTTCAGTTTCTTCGATTTTTCGACTTTGCTTTTTTGGTTTCTCGATTTCTCCATTTTCCAATTTTTTAATTTCTCAATTTTTGAATATTTCTTTCAATTTTGGGATTTCTTAGTATTTCGATTCTTCGACTTTTCGATTTTTTATTTTTTCGATTTTCAGTTTTTCGTTAAGCTTTAGATTTTTCAATTTTTCGACAGTTTTATACTTCGATTTCCCAATTTTTCGATTTTTAACGTTCCAAGTTTATCGATTTCTCGAGTTTTCAGTTCTTCTTTTTAAATTCTAGGGTTTCGATTTCTTGATTTGTCAATTTTTCAGTTTTTCGATTTTTAAATTTTAGATTTTCGAATTTTTATTTTCCAATTTTTTTATTTCTCAATTTTTGGAATATTTCTTTCAGTTGGGATTTTTCAGTATTTCGACTTCTGGATTTTTCTTTTTTTAAACTTTAGATTTTTAAATTTTTTGACTGTTTACAGTTCTTTTATATTTTAATTTTTCAATTTTCCAAATTTTTAAATTTTCGAATTTTCAATTTTTTGAAAAATTGAGAAATCGAAGTCTAAAACAGTCGAAAAATTGAAATTAAAAAATTGAAAAATCGAAAAGTCAAAAAAGCAGATAGACAGACAGACAGACGGAAAAGGGAGACCTATCTTTAGTAAAAATGGGTCCTAGTATCAAAACTCACCCAAATTAGTGGTATAGGCGCAGTCCATGCGCCCACAAGCCACATTGGCTCGGTACTGCTGGAAGTCCCCACCCATCAAGGTGTCCAACCTCTCGTGACGCGCCGTGTGCTGGACAAACCTCGTCTTATCACAAAAACTGTACCCACAATCCTGTCTTTGACAATGGAAATGGGTTTGGTGTTCCCTGTACCCGCAGTGTTGGTACTGACAATCCTCGTTAAACCTGTAACCACCCAACTATAGCACCCTTCCAACCACCAATCACCAGCGTACCCACCTGAACCTCAAATACCCCTCGGGCACCGGCTCATCCTTCAAAATCCTCATAGAATTCTGGATCCTCGCCTTCTTCTGTTCCGGCGAAATCTCATGGTGCGGACTCAGCGACCTCTTGTTCAAATTGGCCGCCATGGCCGCCAAGGGACTCGTCATGTTCTCCTGGAAGCCGTGCTGCGGCCCCAGAAGAGGACTCTGCATCAGTTGGGAGTGTTGGAACATCAGTTGAGTCGGAATCCCTGCGTTCTGGTACAACCCTTGAGGGATAAACGCGTTCTGCATACTTTGTTGTTGCGACATCAAGGCGAACTGAGTGGCCAAATTGGCGGGAAAATTCGTAAAGTGGTTGTAGGCGTCGAAGGTGGGGGTCAAGTATTGGGGAGTGTCGTGCTCGGACTTGACCAATACTGGGTTTTGTAGAGTTTGAAGAGGCGCGACGTTGATCTTGGGCTCCGCCTTGACTGGAGTGGAAGTGGTGGGGTTTTGCTGGTTGTTGTTGTCTTCTTGGAGCTGGCTGTTGAGGGCGCCGGTGCTGTGTTTGGCCACGTGGACTACTAGACGGTCCATTTCTGAGAAGGCCTGGACAATTCGTGTGTTAAGCGAGACAAAGAGGGTGTTCAAGAACTTACCTGGTTGCAGGCGTTGCAATGGTAGTGGTACTTTCGCTTGAGTTTGCAGAAGGGGCGCGAGCACGACAAGTCGGGACCATACAAGGTACTGCTGCCGCCTCCGAGCTCTTGAGGGGTCAGTTGATCTGAAAAAGTCGCAACGTTAAAGACGAATTTCGCGCAATTTCCCCGAAGCAAGAACAGTGAAGAAAGCCACAAAGCTACACAAAGACAATCCGGTGAAGACAAGACCAAGATTAGTACGACCACATAACTTAAGGTTAGTACGTGCGTGCGTACCTGTCTGTAAATTTTTACTAATGTCTGGTGACTTTCGTTCAATCGGCAATGTAGAAAGAGGAAAGAAAGTTCCTGAAGCCTTCACCACTAGAAATAAAGATAGTGCTATATACAACTACACAACTCGAACAAAACACAAATGAGAACCCGACTCACCAGAGACTTTATTCTCCATATTCTGACTGAGATTCATCGCTTTGGATTCGGTCTTGTCTTCGGGCTCCATCTTCACGTCGATATTGTCTTCGTCGACGTGCTTCTGGTTGTGTTGCGACATGGTCGAGTATTGCACGAAGGAGTAGTTGCAATTGGGTCTGGTGCAATGGAAGTGGCGATTGATTTTGTTACTGGGACACTCGGGAAGACGACAATCGACGTTTCGGTCGTAGAACTCGAAACCATCAAGGATCTCGATGTTGTCGTGGAAGTCCTTGCTGTGCATTATGAGCACGTCCTCTTTGTCGGTGACGTAGAGACAACGGTTTTGGTTGCAGTGGAAGTGGGTCGAGCCCAAATATGGACACAGGCTATCCGTGCACTTGGTGTTTTCTTTGAAGACGTCGAAACCTTGAAGACTGTAATCTTGCAGCTGCAACCAATGAAACTAAGTATTGTTAAGGGTTGGGGATTTGGGGGTGCTTACGTTGGGACTGTGGGTGCTGGAACGCTCGTCGCTTGAGTCCTGTTGCTCGATTTCTTTGCTACTGGAAGGGGTGGCCGAAGGTTTGGGCAACTTGAAACTGGTGAAAATGGCCTGGGGTGAGTCCAACAAGCTTTGACTACCGATGGGGGACTGAAACGAAACGGGGGTCAGTAAAGTCGGGCTTGGGTGACGATCGAGACTTACATAGTCGTTCCAGACTTCGATCACGCGGTTCTTTGGTGGGCGGCCGCGTTTCCGACAGAACATCCCGTCAATGGAGGTAGCCAGATGGGTCATGGTTAGTGGGTCCTTCGTCAGGCTTAATTTCCTCGAGTATTCGTGCATCTTGTAGTGTTCTAACCGTCTGAAGGGTTTGTCCGTTGGAAGGATCACCTCCCGGCAGTTCTCCCAGTTGCAATGGTAGTGTTTTTCTTTATCTTGATAGATGCAACCATCGTCGCAAGTCTGGCTGGTCACCGTCGAGAAGTAGTTATCAGTGACGATTTCTTGTTGTTCGTGGTTTCGGGCATGCTCCCTGACCCCATCTTTGGCGTTGAACACCATTTCGCAGTTCTCGACGACACAGTGGTAGTGGTCCGAATAGTTAAACTCGCACTTTTCACTACAACTGTCCTGTTGACTCACAAACTGGCAGTACTTCTTCCAGAAGTCCTCGCTGTTCCAGTTGGTCTCCTCCTGCATCAAATTCGAGTCGCTTGCTGTCAAATCAATCGCAGCGTCACTCTCCTCGTAGCTAATGGGTGAATTTCGCTCACTCAAGCTTTCAGTATTAGACATGTTCGAAGTACTACTATTCTGACTGAACATGGATAGATTTAGTCCCTCCAGTTGTTGTTCGTACTCTCTCCCAAACGACGGATTGATGCCTCCATCTTGCAGACTCTTCATCATACTCTGCGCTAGCTTATACTTCCGGTAGGCTAACTCCGAGTCCTTTCTTTCATGTTTCCGTTTGTGCGAGAACAACTGTCCCGAGCTGTGCAAGACGTAGCTGCACTGCGGCCGAATGCAATGGATGTGGTTGCACACCTTCGAGAACCGGCACTTCTCAAACGGACACACCTCGTTCTTCATGAACTTCTTGAATCCGTCGCGCGACAACTGCTCGTCTTTGATGTGGTACGACTTGTGTTTCTCTGCAACAAGACGGTTAGATTTGTCGCGGTACAGCTCGTCGAACGTACCCATGTCGGACTTGTTCTTGAAGGTGAAGCGACAGCCGGTCCGGCGGCAGTGGAAGTGCGTGGTCCGCTGGCCGAAGAAGGCGCAGTAGGAGGCGCCGCACTCCTCGGTGGCGCGGTACCGCTGGAAGCCCTCCTGGATGATGGCGGAGTCCTTGCGGTGGTAGTTGGCGTGCATCTGGACGTCGGACGTCGAAATGTATACTTTATCACAGCCTTCCTTGATGCAATGATAGTGGGTTTGCTTCTTGTTGTGGGTGCAGTTGCTGAAGCGGTCGCTGCAGTCGTCGAGGGGGCTGTAGCGCATGAAGCCGTGCTGCAGGGACTCGTCGCGCTTCTTGTGCCACTTGAAGTGGCGGATCATTTCTTCTTTTTTGATGAAGACGCGGGAGTTGCAGTCGAGGCAGTGGAAGTGCTCCCTGGAAGATTTAGGGGTTTAGTTAAGGTTGGTGGTTGTTCATGTGGCTACATCAAGTTGGATTTTAATCAAAAGCTAGTACCTAACTCCTGTAAATTCCTAAAAATGTTATTAAAATAATTTGAATTCGTATAGTTGTACTATCCGTAATAATCTCAATTTTGTTCAGTTTTGTTCGCCTGTAGATTTTGTATTACTAACAATAACTCAAAATTTAAAGAAATATTTCTATACAGTTGTCACAAAAATAATTTTTCATTATAGTGTTTACTGGTTAAAATGCAAATTATTATTATCTAACAGATACTAACAAATTATGTGGACAAACATATTGTAAAACAAAGGTGTGATTCATGTCACACCGGAAATTTACCAAGAATTATAGATTAAAAAGTCCATACCTGGTAATCGATCCATTAATGAAATGACAAACAAATGTCAAATTTCAGATGGTTGATGTGGCTGATAACAATTTTTATTATAAAAAATTATAACATTTTTTTGCGATTTTTCTTTTTTTTTAAACCTCTGTAAAGTAAAAATCAGTGGGATTGCATTTTTACTTGAATTTTTCAATTCTTCAATTTTTCATAATTTTGTTTCTTCAGTTTTTCGATTTGCAATTTTTCGACTTTTCATTTATGAATTTTTCAGTTTTCAGATTTTGGAATTTTTCGACTGGAGTTTCTCCAGTTTTCAATTTTTAGATTTGCAATTTTTCCTTTCGGTTTTTTATTTTCTTTATTTTTTCAGTTATTCGATATTTCAATGTTTCATTTCATAATTTTTTATTTTTGCATTTCTCATGTCTTCAATTTTTCGAATTGTGACTTATTATTCTTCGTACTTCTTGTTTCTTGAGATTTTTTATTTTTTCTTGTTTCTTCAGTTTCTTCAGTTTTTAGGCTCTGCAATTTTTCGCTTTAAAATTTGTCAACTTTTCAATTTTTCAATTGTTTAATTTGTCATGTCTTCAAATTTTGTACTTGCAATTTTTCGTTTCGGTTTTTTGTTTTCTTTGTATTTAACAGTTTTTTTAATTTTTCAGATTTTATTTTTTTTAAATTTTTTATTTAAATGTTTAATGTCACATCAGCCACGTTGGATTATTATTATTTATTATTATTATTTTCCATTTCTTCAATTATTCAATTAGCAACTTTTCGCTTCGGTTTTTTACTTTCTTTACTTTTTTTAATGTTCTGATTTTATAATTTCTCGTTTTGCAACGTAAAATTTTTCAATATGTAGATTTTTGGATTTTTCGATTTGCAATGTTCGGTTTGCAATTTTTCGATTTTTCAATTTTAGATTTTTTAATTTTTCAATTTTTCGTTTCTTCAGTTTTTGATTGGTAATTTTCCTAGTTTTCATTTTAAATATGGAATAATGATTAATAATTTTTAAAATTTTTCACTTTTTTAATTTTACGATTTTAGAATGTTTTCCAAATTTTCGATTTGCAATTTTTCGCTTCGCTTTTTTATTTTCCTTATTTTTACAATTTTTGTTCCGATTTGTAATTTTTTGTATTTCAAATATCGATTTTTCGATTTGCAATTTTTCGTTTCGGTTTTTCATTTTCTTTATTTTTTCAATTATTCGATTTTTCAGTGTTTCGATTTCATAATTCTTTGTTTTATCAATTTTAATTTTTCCATCCGATTTCTTCAATTTTTCGAATTGCGACTTTTCAATTTTTCGTTTTCCTTGTTTCTTCAGTTTTAGATTTTTCTTATTTTCGAAGTTTCTTCAGTTTTTCGATTTAAAATAATTTATCGAGTTTTCAATTTTTCGATAGTTTAATTTTTTTGTCTTCGAATTTTCGATTTCTCGTTTCGGTTTTTTATTTTCTCTACATTCTATCGTTTTTGTTTTTCAATTTCAATTCTTGCAATTTTTTGTTTCCTCAATTTTCCCATATTCCAACTTTCGAATTTTTAGATTTTTCTATTTTCATTCCTTTTTTTTCAATTAGCAACTTTTCCTTTCGGATTTTTACTTTCTTATTTCAATTTTTGGTTTTTCAATGTTCTGATTTTATAATTTTTCTTTTTTCAACTCAAAATTTTCCTATTTTTCGATTTACAATTTTTTTGGTTTTCCATTTTTCGATTTTTTAACTTTTACATTTTTTGATGTTCATTTTTGAATTTTAGATTTTTCAGTTTTCGACTCGAATTTTTTTTAGATTCCATTTTAAATCATTTAATTTTACCATTTTAGAATTTTCCCATTTTTAATTACTATGTAGAATTTTAAAAGGATTTTAAACTTTTATTCGACTTTTCAATTTTACGATTTTTAAATTTTCAGTTTTTCAATTCTCCAATATTTCACTTCTTCAATTTTTCGATTTACCATTTTTCGTTTCGGCTTTTTATTTTCTTTATTTTTACAAATTTTCAATTTTTCAATGTTACGATTTTATAACTTTCTTGTTTTTTCAATATCATTTTTTTCAATTTTTCGTTTCTTCCACCTTTTTATTTGCAATTTTTCATTTTTTATTTTTGGGATATTCCTTTTTTTTTAATTAGCAACTTTTCCTTTCGGTTTCGTGGTTTCTTATTTCAATTTTTTGGTTTTTCAATGTTCTGATTTTATAATTTTTCTTTTTTAAACCCAAAATTTTTTGGAATTTTTGCAATTTTTTGGTTTTCCATTTTTCGATTTTTTAACTTTTACATTTTTTAATGTTCATTTTTTGAATTTTAGATTTTTCAGTTTTTCGTTCCTTCAGTTTTTGATTCGAATTTTTTTTAGATTCCATTTTAAATATTTTAGTTTTACCATTTTAGAATTTTTCCATTTTTCAATTACTAGGATTTTAATTTTTTTAATTTTTTCCATTTTTTATTTTCGAGTTTTTCAATGTTACGATTTTATGATTTTTTTTTTAATATGAATTTTTTTCAATTTTTCGTTTCTTTAATTTTTTTATTTGCAATTTTTCATTTTTTATTTTTTTGTTTATTCTATTTTACAACTCTTCCAATTTTCATTTTTAGTCTTCAGTTTTTCGATTTTCCAAATTTTGGATGTTTCAGTTTTTAGATTTTGCAATTTTTCGATTTTTCAATGTTTCATGTCTTCACTTTTTCGATTTGCAATTTTTTGTTTCGGGTTTTCAATTTTTGTATTTTGTCTACTGATTTTTTGAACTTTTTTTAATGCGAAATTTTTGCGCTTTTTATATTTTCGATTTTCAATTCATGAATTTTCAATTTTTCATATTTTCAATTACTCGATTTTTTATTTTTCAATTTTTCAATTCTCCAATTTCTCACTTCTTCAAATTTTCGATTAACAATTTGTCGTTTCGGCTTTTTGTTTTCTTTTTTTTACAAATTTTCGATTTTTCAATGTTCCTATTTTATAAATTTTCGTTTTTTCAATATCAATTTTTTCAATTTTTCGTTTCTAATTTTTTGATTTGCAATTTTTCAATCTTTCATCTTTTTTTGTTCATTCTATTTTACGACATCGATTTTTCAATGTTCCTATTTTATAAATTTTCGATTTTTCAATATCAATTTTTTCAATTTTTCATTTCTAATTTTTTGATTTGCAATTTTTCAATCTTTCATCTTTTGTTGTTCATTTTATTTTACGACATACAACTTCGAATTTTCATTTTTAAAAGTCTCCAGGTTTTCGATTTTCCAAATTTTGATGTTTCATTTTTTGGATTTTACAATTTTTCGATTATTGAATTTTTCGTGTCTTCAATTTTTCCAATAGCAAATTTTCGTTTCGATTTTTTATTTTCTTTATTTTTTGTTCTGATTTTTTAAAATTTTCTTAATGTCAAATTTTTCAATTTTTAGATTTTGCAATTTTTCGACTTGCAATTCATTTATTGATTTGACTTTTCAATTTTTTGATTTTTAAATTATACATATTATTGGAAAACCCAAAAATTGCAAATTCGAAAAATTATAGAATCCTCAAAATTGTCGAAAGGTCGAAAAATTGAAAAATCGATTAAATGAAAAAGTTTTGAAGTCCAATAATTTTTAAAATTGTAATTTACAAAATTTTTCTGTTTTAGAATTTTGGAATTTTTTCGTTTTTCAATTATTGGATTTTAAAATGTTTCATTTATTTGACTTTTCAATGTTTTGATTTTTAATTTTTCAATTTTTTGATTCTTCATTTTTTCACCGCTGTAAATTTTCGATTTTTTAATGTTTGGAATATATAATTTTTTGTTTTTCCAATTTCAATTTATTCAATTTTTCGACTAGCAATTTTTCTATTTTTGATTTTTTCAATTTTTCGATTTCTTTTTTCCATTTTTCAACTTTTAAATTTTGTAATTTTTCGTTTCTTCAATTTTTCTACTTGTCAATTTAAATATGTACCTAGAAATAATTATAATTTTTAAAATTGTATCACTTCTTCAAATTTTTCCAATTTTTAATTATTGGATTTTAAAACTTTTTCATATAATCGATTTTTTCATTTTCAACCTTTGGAATTTTTCCATTTTTCATTTCTTCAATTAATTTTTTGTTGTTTGAATTTTTCAATTCTTCATTCTTCTTCTTTTCGATTTTTCAGATTCTCAGTATTTAATTTTTCAATTTATGACTTTACAATTTTGACAATTTTATAATTTTTCGATTTTGCAACTTTTGGGCCTTTCAGTTTTTCGAGTCGATTCGTTTTTTCAGTTTTTCCAATTTCAATTTATTCAATTTTTCGACTAGCAATTTTTCTATTTTTGATTTTCTCAATTTTTCGGTTTTCTTTTCTCAACTTTTAAATTTTGTAATTTTTCGTTTCTTCAATTTTTCTACTTTTCATTTTAAATATGTAGCTAATTATAATTTAAAAAAATATTCTATTTTACAGTTTTGGAATTTTTCCGTTTTTCAATTATTATTGGATTTTAAAATGTTTCATTTATTTGACTTTTCAATTTTTTGATTTTTAAATTATATTATTGGAAAACCCAAAAATTGCAAATTCGAAAAATTATAGAATCGTCAAAATTGTCGAAAGGTCGAAAAATTGAAAAATCGATTAAATGAAAAAATTTTGAAGTCCAATAATTTTTAAAATTGTAATTTAAAAAAAATTTCTCTTTTACAATTTTGGAATTTTTTCGTTTTTCAATTATTGGATTTTAAAATGTTACAATTTTTGATTCTTCAATTTTTCATCGCTGCAAATTTTCGATTTTTCAATGTTTCGATTATATAATTTTTGTTTTTCTAATTTCAGTTTATTCAATTCTTCGACTAGCAATTTTTCTATTTTTGATTTTTTCAATTTTTCGGTTTTCCTTTTTTCCATTTTTTCAACTTTTAAATTTTGTAATTTTTCGTTTCTTCAATTTTTCTACTTTTCATTTTAAATATGTATCTAGAAATACTTATGATTTTTAAAATTTTATCACTTCTTCAATTGTAGATTGTTGATTGTAGAGTTTTTCCGATTTTCAATTATTGGATTTTAAAACTTTTTCATATAATCGATTTTTCCGTTTTCAACCTTTGGAATTTTTCATTTCTTATTTTGTTTTTTTGTTTTTTGAATTTTTCAATTCTTCATTCTTCTTCTTTTCGATTTTTCAGATTCTCAGTATTTAATTTTTCAATTTTTGATTTCACAATTTTGACGATTCTATAATTTTTGAATGAAAAAAATTGCAAAATTGTAAACCTGAAAAATCTAAAACGAAAAAACGAAAAAGTGTAAAATGAAAACTTTGAAAAATCTAAAAATTGAAAAGCAAGAACTTGAAAACTTGAAGAAACGAAAATTTGAAACATTGAAAATTAAAGAAATCGGAAAATCGAGGAACGAAAAATTAAAAAATGAGAAATTGAAAAATTGAAAAATTGAAAAAATTAAAGTTGCCAAAACAAAAAAATATAAAATCGAAGAAAAAGAAAAAATGAAAAATTGTGATATCAAAAAATTGGTCGAAAGTAAATTTTGGATAGATGCAGGGTAATACTAATAATAATAATTTTAATCAATACAATAAATTGCCTCATTTATTTTTATTTTTTTGAGTCACCTTGTATAAGTAATCTTAAAATCTAGAGTGCATTGATAAACCGCAAGTATAGAGTAATAATATGTATTTTGTATATTTCAAAGAGGATTTATTCGTAAAAATTTTTACATGACGTCATCCATTTTTTTAGAAGGAAATAAACGAATAAATTTTGAATAATGACTTACCATGTTTAAAAAACCATAAAACGTTTGCAAAAATGTTACACAATTTTGATTTTTTCCAAAAATATTAATGTCTAGGATAAAAACTGAACACGGATTCATAAACCACATATGTAGGATTATCTAATTTCACAAATTTGCTAGCCTTTAGATTGATGGTGCTAGGTTACAACAACTAGACTTTAGCTTTTGAGCAAAGCTCATCTCGCTTTCCAAGCACACTGACCTGTAGTTCAAGTCCTTGCAGTACGAGCTGCCGCACTCCAGGCTCGACGAGAACTTCTTGACGTACTTGGAGTAGTCCAGCTGCGTCGTCGGCTTGTTCAGCAGGAGGTTGGGCGTCGCGACGTGGTCGCGCGGCGTCGGCTGCAGGGATTGCGCCATCATGGCTGCAAAACGAAGACAATGATTAAGCGGTGACGCAATCGCCGAACGCCGAATATTGTTCGAAAGTCCAGATGTTTTTCTGAAGGGTCAGGAAAAAAGCGCTCCGACGAATCTCGCGCCTATCGTCGGTATGCTTTAAGGAGCGGAATCGTGCGCCGAGTCGAACGTTTTGTTTGGACAAGTGTTTTGAAGTCTCTTTGCTTTTTTTTACCACGTTATTATTTCAAATCCAGATATTACATTCGAAAGCATGTCGCATTTCAATGAGCACTTCACGGAGTGTTTGTACGGAGGAAGGCGGAGACGGCGAGAGAGGAAGGGTTTTGTTTGCGGTTTGCGGGAAGGGGGTGGAAGGGGGGTGGTGGGGGGGAATTAGGAGGGGTGGGGTGGAGGAGGAATTAAAAAATGAGAGATTTGAGGGAAGATCAAGTGTGTTTGTTTCGATATTTCCGAACTTGTTTCTAATAATTGTAAACTGTTGTAAAATTATCAGTACATGCTTAACTTGGAAAGAATTCGACTGAATATTAGCTCAAAACAGAGGAGCGGACTAATTAATTTTACATATCCGAGTACAATGGACCAAATTTTATTATTATTAAATATAGGCAGGCGCGACGTTATTGTATTCTTACATTTTAAAGAAAATCTACAAAAAATTCGAAGATATAGATCTGGATGTGTTAATTGGAATAATATAGAAACTTTATTGTCCCAAATTGAGATTTTAGAAATGTTCAGGGGTACGGTTTGATTTTTTTTTAATACGAAATATCGTATTTATTTTATCGAGCGATATTGGAAAAATGGTTGAATTTTTCCAAGAAATGATACCAAAAGTATATTCTAAGGTCAAAATCTACAAAAAAATCTGTTTGGGTAATTTTCCAGAGTTGTCAAAAAAACGCCGAAAAATTCGTAAGTTGAAAAATTGAGCTTTTGAAACAGTTGTCCAAAAATTAACAAAATTTAATATATCTAAGATCTGGAAGTGCTTATTCCAAATGTATAAAATGTTTATGATACCGCATTAATATTTCAAAAATATTCGGTTTGAGTGTGTTTTTTTTTGAAAATCTCAAAAATTGTTATATTTCATTGGCCGATTTTGGAAAAATGACGGCAGTTTTCGATGAAATCAGTCCGGAATTATCTTCCGGAAGTAAAAATCTACAAACAAAACTTTTTAGATGATTTTAGAAAGTCTAGAAAGTGGTATAAAAAAAGTCGAAATTTTTATAACGAAATTCGTTGTGCTGACTCCAAAAATATAAAATATTTATGATGCCGGACTAAAACTGCAAAAATAATAATCGGTTTGAAAGGTTTTTTTTTTAATTCTAAATAAAATTCTTGTCATTGGGCCATTCTGGAAAAACGGTAGGGGTTTTCGAAGAAATGAAGCCGAAAGTATCTTGTGGAAGTCGAAATCTAAAACAAAATTTATTTGGGTAATTTTCGAAGGTGATCGAAAAAAGTTGAAATTTTCATAATGGAAGAAATTAAATTAAAAAATTGAGCTTTTGAAAAAGTTCTATAAAAATCAACAAAAAATTCTGGGTTATAGATTTCCAAGTTCTGATTCCAAAAGTATGAAAGATTTATGATACCGTATGAAGATTTTAAAATTAATCAGTTTGAAAACCCTTTTTTTGAAATCCTAAATATATATCTACTTATTATCATATTTATTGTATTGAGGAATCTTGGAAACATGGTAGGAGTGTTCGAAGAAATGAAGCGGAAAATAACTTCTGGAGGTCGAAATCTACAAAAAATCTCTTTAAGTAATTTTCGAAACTGATCGAAAAAAATCGAAATTTTCATAATGGAGGAGTACTGAAAAATTGAATTTTTCAAAAAGTTCTCTCAAAATCCACAAAAAAAATCTGGGGTATAAATTTCGAGAAATATGAAGATTTATGATCCCGGATTAAGATTTTAAAAATAATCGCTGTAAAAATATATTTTTTTTGAAATCAGTAAAATAAGTATTATCATATTTATTTTACTGAGCAATTTTGGAAGTCGAAATCTAGAAAAAATTCGTTTGGGTAATTTTCGGAAATGGTCCAAAAAATGTCAAAATTGAGGAATGTTGAAAAATTGAGCTTTTGAAAAAGTTCTCTAAAAATCCACAAAAAATACTAGGATAGGGATTTTGTTGTTCTGACTTTAAAAATATAAAATATTTATGATCCCGGATTAAAATTGTAAAAATAATCGGTTTGTACGTTTTTTTTTTTTGAAATTCTAAATATTATTATGTTCTTTTTATTGAGCAATTCTGGAAAAACGCTAGGAGTTTTTGAAAAAATGAAGCCGAAAGTATCTTCTGGAAGTCAAAATCTACAAAAAAATTTGTTTGGGTAATTTTCGAAGGTGATCAAAAAAGTTGAAAAATTGAGCTTTTGAAAAAGTTCTCAAAAATCCACAAAAAAATTCTAGGATATAAATTTCGAAGTTCTAATTCCAAAAATACTAAAGATTTATAATGCCGGATTAAAATTTTAAAATTAATGGGTTTGAAAAACTTTTTTTTTTTTAATCCATAATAATACCACATTTATTCCATTGGGGAACTGAAAAATCGAAAAATCCAGACCTCGAGATATCGAAAAATTTTTAATTCAAAAATCTAATATTTAAAGAATTGCAAAAATTGAAAAATCGGAAAATTGAAGTATCGAAATAGTGAGAAATTGAAAAATTACAAAGCTTATTGAGAAATCGAAAAATTGGAAAATCGAAAATTCTAAAAATTATAAACAAATTGATAAATCAAAAAATTGAAAGACCGAAAAATTGTACAATAAAAAAATCGAAACAATAAAATGTCGATAAAACGAGAAAAAGAAAAATCGAGAATTCAAAAATCCAGAATTTAAAAAAATCGCAAAAATTGAAAAATCGGAAAATTGAAGTTATTTAATTCTACAACTTTAATAACAAAATAACGCAAAAATTTTGAAACCGAAAAATTGGAAAATCGAAAGACCGAAAAATTGGAAAATCGAAAAGCCGAAAAGTTGAAAAATCAAAAAACTGAAACATCCAGAAATTGAAACATGAAAAGATCTCGAAATGGAAAAGTCGAAAAATCGAAAAAGTGAGAAATCGAAATAGGCCAAAATCGAAAAATCGCATAATTAAAAAGCGAAAATTTTAAAATTAAAAACAAAATTGATAAATCGAAAAATTGAAAGATCGAGAAATTGTAAAATAAAAGAATCAAAACCATAAAATGTCGATAAAACGAGAAAAGGGAAAATTGAAACACTGAGCTTTTGAAAATGTTTTCAAAAATCCACAAAAAATTCTGGGATAGAGATTTCAAAGTTATGATTCCAAAAATATGAAAGATTTATGTACCTGGATTAAGAGTTTAAAAATATCCGGTTCGATTTTTTTTTTTTATCCTAAATACAAATTATCACATTTATTTTATTGAACAATTCTGGAAAAATGCTAAGAGTTTTCCAAGAAGTGAGGCCAAAAGTATCTTTTGGAGGTCGAAATCTAGAAAAAATTTGTTTTGGTTGATTTTCGAAAAATGTCGAAAAATTGAGCTTTTGTTCTGACTCCAAAAATATAAAATATTTATGATGCCGGATTAAAATTTTAAAAATAATCGGTTTGAGAAACTTTTTTTTTTGAAATCTTTAATTTTACTATATTTATTTTAATAGTCAATTCTGGAAAAATGGTAGGAGTTTTCGAAGAAATGAAGCCGACAGTATCTTTTGATGTTCGAAAACTACTAGAAAATCTGTTTGGGGCATTTTCCAGGGCGGTCGAGAAAAGGTCGAAATTTTCATAATGTTGAAAAATTGAGCTTTAGAAAAAGTTCACTAAAAATCCACAAAAAATTCTGGGATATAGGTTTCGAAGTTCTGATTCCAAAAATATTAAAGATTTATGTACCCGGATTAAGATTTTAAAAATATCCGGTTTGAATTTTTTTTTTTTAATCCTAAATACAAATTATCACATTTGACATTTAATTTATTGAACAATTCTGGAAAAATGTTAAGAATTTTCGAAGAAATGAGGCCAAAAGTATCCTTTGGAGGTCGAAATCTAGAAAAAATTTGTTTTGGTTGATTTTCGAAAATGATGGAAAAAATGTCGAAATTTTCATAATAGAAGAATGTTGCCAAATTGAGCATTTGAAAAAGTTCTCTAAAAATCCACAAGAAATTCTAGGATGGAGATTTCGTTGTTCTGACTCCAAAAAAATATGAAAGATTTGTGATACCGAATTAATGTTTTAAAATTATTCGGCCTGAAAGTCAGTCTTCTTTTAAATCCTAAAAATTTTCATAAAAGGGGGAATACTGAAAAATTGAACTTTTGAAAAAGTTGTCTAAAAATTTACAAACAATTCTGGGATATAGATTTCGAAGTTCTAATTCCAAAAATATAAAATGTTTATGGTCACGAATTAAGATTTCAAAAATATTCGGTTTGAAGGTCTTTTTTTGAAATCAGAAATATTATATTTGATTGAAAGCTTTTGGAAAAATGATAGGAGAATGAAGCCGAAAGTATCTTCCGGAGCTCGAAATCTACAAAAATATCTTTGTGTAATTAAGATTATCAAATTATTCAACATAAAAGTCATTTTTTTAATTCTAAAGATTATCATATTTTCATTGGACTATTCTGAAAAATGGAGAATATTGAAAAATTTCAATTTTTAAAAGTTGTCTGGAAATCCTCAAAAAATTCTGGTATATAGATTTCAAAGTTCATATTCCAAAAATATAGAATATTTATGATTCCGCATTAAGATTTTAAAAATATAAAATTAGAAAATGTTTTTTTTTTAATTCGAAATATTATCCTATATTAAGATATTCTGGAAAAATGCTATGATTTCTTGAAGAAATGAAGCCGAAAGCATTTTCTAAGAAATTTGCAAAAAATCTCTTTGGGTAATTTTCGAAAAGTGGTCAAAAAAGGCCGAAATTTTCTAAAACTGAGCCTTTGACAAAATTCT